GGTGAACTTCCCTCTAAATATAAACTGCCGTTAGAAAACATAGCAAAATATTCGTTTCACGCGATTATTACATCACACTTGCGAAATCCATGGACAGGATTTGCATGTTTGAATCATCGTCTTATGCCACAGCCAATTTCTCGGTTCTGTTGGCATTCAGCTGTCAGTCGATCTCACGATTTTAAGAAATGTAGCGCCCCACCACAGCTGGTAAAGCTGAGGAACGGCGCCATAAATCATAATAAACCAACAAAAACTTATTGTTCCAAAGCTTCTCGACACTTGAAGGGGTTTCATTTTGACCTTATGCTTTTCCAAAGAACCATGTGTAGAATATGCCTATATTATGTAATATTCAAGCAATTTTTTTTACTGATATATATGTATGTATGTATAACGTATGTATGTATGTACGTATGCATGTATTTACGTATGTATGAATATGTGTATGTATGTATGTATGCATATAGTATGTATGTATGTATGTATGTATGTATGTATGTATGTATGCATGTATGTATGTATGTATCTGAAGATGGTAATATGTATGTATGTATGTATGTATGTATGTATGTGTGTATGTATGTAAGTATGTATGTATGTGTGTATGTAAGGATCTATCTCTGTATATATGTATCATGTATGTATATATGTATGTATGTATGTATGTATGTATCTATGTATGTGTATGTATGTATGTACGTATATATGTATGTATGTATGTATGTATGTATGTATGTATGCATGTATGTATGATGTATGTATGTATGTATGTGTGTATGTATGTATGTATGTATGTATGTATGTGTGTATGTATGTACGCTGTATGTATCTATGTATGTACGTATGCATGTATGTATGTATGTATGTATGTATGTATGTATGTATGTGTATGTATGTATGTATCTATCTATGTATGTACGTATGTATGTATGTATGTATGTGTGTATGTATGTGTGTTATACGTATATATGTATGTATGTATATATGTATCTATGTATGTGTGTATGTTTGTGTGTATGTATGTATGTATGTATGTATGTATGCATGTATGTATGATGTATGTATGTATGTATGTATGTATGTATGTATGTATGTATGTATCTATGTATGTATGTATGTATGTCTGTATATATGTATGTATGTATGTATGTATGTATGTATGTATGTATGTATGTATGTATGTATGTATGTATGTGTATGCATGTATGCACGTATGCATGTATGTGTGAATTCGTGTATGTATGTATGTATACATGTATTTATGTATATAGGTGTGTATGCATGTATGTAGGCATGTATGTGCATGCATGTATTTGTGCATGTATCGCAAAACACGAATTGCTTATATGCAACGTCAAAACATGTTCGCTATTTTTTCAGTATGACCACAAATGTACGAATGACTTGTGGGTATGCTTGTTGTTGTTTCATCACACCCTTTACGTTAACGGAGCTTTAATAGCATAGTATTCGAAATTTATGATACCTGACCGTTAGAAATGATATAAAAGATGAATATCAAGCTAAGTTCGCCGTGCCTGGTGAATTG